CCGGTGTGCCTACACTCATAGAAAATAATGTGTTCGAATTTTAAAGACGTCCGGTGTGCGACCACCTGAAACGCTGGCTTTTTTCACTTCCGAAAGTGGATGATGTCAGGAAACAGCAATTTATTTTTTAACTCTGTTCCTGAGCATTATAACCCCAATTTGCTATTGTGTGTCGCGCATTTTACTGAGGACAGCTTCCACAACATGAGGGAGTACAGTGCTGGATTTGCCAAAAAGCTTTTGTTGAAAGACGGAGCAAGGGGCGTGGCAGTACTGAAACACCGTCTAAGCTGTTCGCCAATCACAACGCACTGGGAAAGCGAACCAATCACAACACATTTTGTTTTTCGGAAGGCGGACCTTCATCAAAGCCGGAACTAATCTAGCCGTTTGTGCCAGGATGGCGAGAAAGTACTTTTAATAATGTAAATTATGTGAAAAATAATGCGTTTTTCGAACCACCAAGCATGAGAGCATGTTCTAGTACACCCCCAAAACAAAATCAAGACTTTGTAAAAGAGCATAATAGGACCCCTTTAACTGTAGAGGGCTTCAAAGTCGCAAAAATACACAAACTAAGTTGCTTTAGGAAACGTCCCAACTTGGTGGATTTGGATCACCCTGTTCTGTATAATACACTAGCACTAACTTTACTTAAAAGAATATTTCACACAGAAATTTCACCCAAATATCATCAATACCTGCCTGACTTTCTTTGTTCAGTGTAGCACAATATATATATTTATAATCTTTTTTTAAAAAGAGGATGTAAAACCAACAACAAAAAACTATTTAAACAAAACAAAACATTTTAATAAAAAAATTATTATATTTGAAATATTAATAAATACTAGTATATAAGTAATGTACTAAACATCCAACTCACATGTCACACCAAAAAATAGCAAGAAATGATAATTCAGCACTACATATTCCCCTACATATTCACATTACCGTAACGCAAAATATAAAATACAAATATGTTGCATTTTCATCTTATCTTGCAAGAAAATTTTGCATTATTATTATTATTATTACTACTTTTAATGAAAATTAAGCACCTTTCTGAATGTGAAAATTTAATTTGCATGTGCATCTAATTTAGCAAGAAAATTACTATTTTACATTATTATTATTATTATTGCTACTACAATTACGTACATTACCATAATATTGCATTTTATTTTGCAAGAACTTTTGCATATCGTTTGCATTATTATTATTACAAGTTTTCATTACCATAACACAAAAAAATAAAATAAAATAAAAGTAATGCGCGCACACACACACACACACACACACATTTATAAACACATAAATGTTTTTTCCTAGGACCTGAAATAAGATGACGCATCAGATTTATTTTACATACTACATTTATTAAAAAAAAAAAAAAGCCCCTTTTTACATGAAATTTAAAAAAACGAGCAGCGGTCCACGGACCTGCCAGCTGAGACAATCTGAGTACTAAACATCCAACTCACACGTCACACCAAAAAATAGCAAGAAATGATAATTCAGCACTACATATTCCCCTACATATTCACATTACCGTAACGCAAAATATAAAATACAAATATGTTGCATTTTCATCTTATCTTGCAAGAAAATTTTGCATTATTATTATTACTACTATTAATGAAAATTAAGCACCTTTCTGAATGTGAAAATTTAATTTGCATGTGCATCTAATTTAGCAAGAAAATGACTATTTTACATTATTATTATTGCTACTACAATTACGCACATTACCATAATATTGCATTTTATTTTGCAAGAACTTTTGCATATCGTTTGCATTATTATTACAAGTTTTCATTACCATAACGCAAAAAATAAAAATAAAATAAAAGTAACACACACACACACACACACACACATTTATAAACACATAAATGTTTTTTCCTAGGACCTGAAATATTAAGATGACGCATCAGATTTATTTTACATACTACATTTATTAAAAAAAAAAAAAGCAACCAAAGTCCCATTTTACATGAAATTTACAGAGACACACATTTGTAAAAGCATAGAAACCAACAAAATGTTATCTAGCAGCATCCAAATGTTGGAATGAGGGGAAAAAAAGACAAATCCTCAATATATCTATGTATTGGACACAGTCCTGGCAAAACAGTCACAGTATGGCCTTCTCACAGCCGTTCCTCCAGAAGCCGCTCATTTGAATAAAATAAACTAATTTAGGTGAAAGAAGCTTAAATAACAGTGTTAAATACAAGACACTTGATTGGAGGTTCTGTACAGACATGGACACAGAGTTTTGGCATGTGACTGTGGATTCGAGACGAGGCAGGAGCGGAAAGCCACGTTATGCACACACCTGCTTCATTTCGGCTTTTCTCTGAGGCACAATCTCAACATTTACAGCTTCACGAACTATTCACATTGTGTTTGCTTGGCAAATCCATGACTCTTATTGCCAGAATTTGATGATTGTGGACAGAAAAGATTCAAAAGGTACCGTTGACCCGCTGAACTTCAACGTTTGATTGCGCCTTTCAATAACGTCTCGCCAAGTCTTGATGTGTTACATTCATGATCCACCTCCAGAAACATCGTTTAGTTGCTAATTGAGTACATTCTCCGTGCTAAACCTGCCTCCGTGTGTCTTCGCTGCTCATCTACACTCTTCTTCAGTCCAGAATATACTTACATTCTGCATCTGATTGAACTGCAGTAGGAATCGGGCTTTGCTAGTGTAGGTCAATGGCGTGCAGTCCTGAAAGTCTTCAGTGGTCTCCATCAAGGCTTCTTGTCGATGGTGTGAAAGAACCACTGGGTGAACTTCCTGAGCTGTGCGGCAGCCGTCTGGCTCTCCTCCTGCAGACGCATGTTGTCCTGCCGCAGGTGCTGCACCTCCACCTGCAGGATCGCCTTGTCTTCCTTTTCCTGTGCACAAAAGTGAACCAATGACCTTAGAATATAGTGAACTAGCCGTTTTATGGTGCTCACTATATGCTGTCATTATATGGAAAATATCAGCCTTGGATATTCTTCAAGAACAACCCGAGTGTGAGTAAGCAAGTAAACAAACAAAAACAAAAAAATACATGCAGTGTAAAATAATTTGTCATTAATAAATAACTTGATTCTATTTTATTGCAGTGTTTAATTTTTTCTTACATACCTTTAACCTGAAGATAAACACTATGGCTGTTAATATAATTGGGATTTAAAAAAAAATTATAATGTTTTAAATGATTTTTAAAGTGATAGTACTGTCAAATTATGTAATATTGTGAAACTGGTTATATTGTCAAATAAGAAATTGATAATACTGTAATTTTTGTTTTATTCATTACATTTTTTCTTTTTTATTATTTATTCATTTTTGTAATTTTTTTATATTATTTTTTTAAGTGGTGGTATTTTTAGATTCTGTAATATTGTGAAGGCGGTCATTTTGTCAAATTAAGTGGTAATATTGTCATTTTGGTATTTATTAAATTTAATTGTATTTTTTTCCAAACTCTCTGTGAAAGCAGTAATGTCAAATTAGAAAGTGGTAAAACTGTCATTTTTATTTATTAATCTTATTTTTATTACTTATTTTTAAAATTGTTTAAAATGATTTTTTTTTTCAAACTCTAATATTTGTAAACGTGATAATGGTGTCAAATTAGAAAAGGACAATACTGTCATTTTTTCATACACTTTATTTCATTATTTATTTTTTAATTTATTTTAAACCATACTTGGTAAGTGGTAATATTGTCAAATTCTGTAATACTGTGAAGGCGGTATTATTCCATTTTCACATTCAGGGGTAGAAAATGGATAAACAGTTTGAACGTTCGATTTCCACGTGTGGGGGCGGAAATGAAACGCCCCTTTCCACTGATTAGTCAAGCAAGCATCAAATGGTGCCGTCATCATGTCGTCTTCAGTTTTGTGCAACAGAATAAGGGTCCTTCCGCTGTTAAAGCGTTTATTGCAACTCCTGCTTCATCTCCCTCTCATCAAACAACCAGACTAACAAATGGCTTGACACAAACCATACTGGGGCAGCGCCTAGATGGGGCTTACTTCTGTGTAGGCATAGATTCTATATGTCAAATATTAGGTGCTTATTGCAGAAATATGTATGTAGCCTACCTCAGATCTGCAGCCACATTACAAAGCATTACACAACACAAAGCTGCGTGACATTTACATTTTAGTGAAGCGCAGACCAGTATCGGTTTTAGTGAGAATATAAAGATATCTTATCATTTTGATTATTATTTCGAGTTTTTTTTTTTAAAGAGAAGTTTATATGATACTGTCATTATGCGACGGCATGTTGCACATATGTATATAAATATAAAACATGCTATTTTTATAGAAAAGGGCATTTTTCTAACTTTATATAATATGTCTGTCACCTTTAATATTACATTTCTGAATTTAGTCAATATTTGAAAAATATTACATTATAGGTGTTACCAATTACATCAGTACCAACCAAAGCCATCTTTGCACTGTGGCACAGAAGCTGCATCTTAAGTTGAATTTAGATGTATTTACACAATTAATGCTGCTCAGACGGCAGTGAATGCATTAACTCAGCAATTGCATTATGGAATGAGATTAATATTTTAAACAAAAACATTCTGAATAGCCTACAGAAATATGAAACGAGTGACAAAATGAAACAATTGGATACTTGAATTATGAAGGTTACACCGCCAGTAGGTGGCAGCAAGTCATGGTGTTGATGAATGAGTCATAGAGTCATCAATTCAACAGATTTGTTCAAAATGCTGGTTTGTTCAGGAGCAAAGCAAATGGGTCATTGAACCACTCACAAATACGATTCATTCAAAGACTCGGATTCATTCAAGAATGAAACGCCTGTGTTTTATGTCAGATAAAACACACTGTTTTGTGTCTAAAATGAAATCAATTCATACTCATTATTAATGAAACTGTACGGTCTAAAATAAAAGTTATGACTGCTGCATTTTCACACTAAAATCAATACTGGCCTGCGCTTCACTATGATGTAAATGCATTTGCCCCGTGTTGTCCAGTGCGTCATGCAGCTTTGCCACATAGATTTTGATAACTGGACAGCTAAATAAAATGTGCTGTGCGCCAAAGAAATCTAAAAGGTTAATGTGGCTGCAGATCCGAGGTACATACATATTTCTGCAATAAGCACCTAATACTTGCCATAGAGAAACTATGCCTACACAGAAGTAAACCCTGTCCTTTTGTTAGTCTGGTTGTTTGATGAGAGAGAGACGAAATGCAGGAGTTACAATAAACACCGTAACCGCGGAGGACTCTTATTCTGTTGCACAGAACTGAAGACGACATGACGACGGCACTGTTTCATTTTTGCTTGACTAATCAGTGGAAAGGGGCGTTTAATTCCCTCCCACATGTGGAAATCGAACATTCAAGCGGTTTATCCATTTTCTACCCCTGAACGTAAAAACGAAAAATTAAGGCGAATTCTTGTCTTTTCATGTTTTTTAAAAAACGAAAAATGAAAATGGTGCCGTTTTCTCATGTTTCTGTTTTCAATATTAAATCAAAAAATGAATGAACGCAACGTACACGGACCTAATACCGACCCATTTTTATTTATTCAATTTAAATTATATTTTACCATTTTAACCATTTCAACTCATTCTCTACTAGGGTTGGGCCAATAGACGATGCCATCGTCCATTGCTGATGGCTGACAGACATCACGATGTTAAGCCGGCATTCTAATTCTATTTGATCTATTTCTTGACTTGGCCCTCTAACACTTTGCACTCTCTATTCGTTTTCTAACTGCTCGTTTTCTTTTTTTGTTATATATATATATGTTAGGCTAACCGAGACTTGTCACAGCACTTGCATATCATTGCTCTTTTGTTGGTTTTGATTGCTTCTATTGTCCTCATTTGTAAGTCTCTTTGGATAAAAGCGTCTGCTAAATGTCTAAATGTAAATGTTCTCTAAAGTTTGAAAACCTCTGGGACAAAAGTATTTTACATTCTAACATAAATTTCACCTCTTGAGTATTTTGCACTGAGATCTTATTACAGACAAAGAAAAGTTTCACAAATAGATACAATGTTCTAGAAATGTTAAGTATGGATGATATAGGTCTCAGAGGACTCATAACTCCTCTTTACAGTTTTTTAGAGTCATTGTACACCAGCTATACATATATTGACCTGATGTGAACGCTTTAACATGATCAGCCATTACATCAGGTGCATCATGGGCTGTTGGAGTTATTTCTGCTGAGCGGAGTCATTTCAAATGGCAGGAAGCAGGATATTAAATTGGGCCGACGAGGTGGCAATTCTGCATTCTGGTGCCCATTACAACACACTTTAACACATTGTTTGCCTATCATTCCCCTCAAAACCCAGTTGACGCACTTCCTCGCATTCACAAAACATGGAGAAATCAGTTCCTGTTAATGGGTAAAAACATCTACAGTGGACTTAAAAAACATGGCTATTGTTTTCCATCAGGATGGGATAGTCCACCTTTTTCACACCATACTGTCATACTGCAGCCGTCTTGAGATGACCTCCAACTGACTTTCTTAAATTCAAGTTAAACTGAATTATAAATAAATATTTTGCAAGAAAATTTAACTTTTTTGCATTATTATTATTATAAGCACACTTCCTCTACAACATTTCATTACCATAATGCAAAAAATAATAATAAAGTAATTGTACAAATTTATACAAGAAAATGAAGAAAATTTTGGCATTATTATTATTATGCACAATTTCCCAATTTTTTTTTTTTTTACCATAATACAAAAAAAGCATTTGCATTTAATTTAGCAAGAAATTTACCCTATTTTCCCCCTAATTTACCAAAAATAAATAAATAAAATATATCTTATTAACATAATACAGTTATGACCATCTTGTCCAATACAATTATTAAAAAAAAAATTCAAATCATGCTGGACCTACGAAACACGGCTATTGTTTTCCATCAGGACGGGATAGTTTACCTTCTTCAAGTCATACTGCAGCTGTCTCAGGATGACCTCCAGCTGATTGACTTTACCCGTCAGCGTGGCTGGAGACGTATCACTGAGGAGCGAGACAGAGCTGTTAGTCTGAGTATGAACACACAGTGTATTGTGTGTGTGTGTTCGGCGTTAAACTCACCCGGCCTCCAGTGCGGCTCCTTCAGCAGCTGCCACGCGTCTGGTGAGCTCACGCGAGATCTGCAGCGCTTCGGCTCTCTGCATGTCCGTCATGGTGCAGAACGAGGCCACGCGCTGGTCTGGACACAAAGAAACACCAGACACACTCAGATCAGGACCGATATGATCACAATGATACATATACAACAAAACGACAGCAAACTCAGTGCTGAATGAGACACGACTGCAACTGAATAATATCTAATGGCAGAGTACTGTATATATAGTAATGTGATAATGTGTTAATAATTCAGTCACACATTCTCATCAATCCTAATAGGTTTGTTAAGAAGAAAGTAATATTAAAGAGAATATTATGACAATTAAACACATTTTCCCCCAAAATTAAATAGAATCAAACAAAACAAAACAAATAATGCATCTAGATTTGATTTAGCAAGCAAATAAACTATTTTGAATTAATATTGTTATTATTAGCAAATGTCTGCTACAAATTCTCATGATCATAATGCAAAATAAATAAAAAATTCATTTGCATTTAATTTTGCAATAAAATGACAACATTTTTTATTATTATAATAAGTACATTTCCTCCACAAATGTTCATTATCATAATGCAAAAAAAAAATATTTGATTCGCATCTAATTTCATGACAAAATATACTTATTTGTATTATTATTATTAGTAGTAGTAGTACATTTCCTCTACAAATTTTCATTAAAATAATGCAAAAATATAAATAAATGCATAAACTAAGTCTGCATTAATATTATTATTATTATTATTATTATAGGCACATTTTTGCTACAAACTCTCATTTCCATACTGCAAAAATAAATTTAATTCATCAAGAAAACAGACTATTTTTTTCTTTATTTATATAGCCTGCTTTCTGGCAGAATTAAATGCAATTTTTTTTTTTTTTTTTTTTTTTTTTTTTTTTTAATGGGAATTTGTAGGAGAAATGTGCATTGATTTGGGAGACACAATAAAACACAGTTCAGCTGTATTCACATTCTCAATGCTGTCTGTCATGAGGCCTTTCAGCCATATGTCACATCTGATGAAACCCTTCACTGTTAAAAAAAAACTGTGTTTTTTTTTTTGTGCTGGCCTCAGATCAGTTTTTCATATCTAACGCCAGGTTTGTATCCAGTTTATGTTTGTAATTAATAAGAAGAGCCTACAATGCGTCTGTGGCACAAAGGCTGTTTCTATAAAGTGGGGCAGTTCCAACTTTGCAAGGACAGTCTGGCGCTTCTGACTCACAGCCTGTAAGTACGTTTTTTATATTTAAAGAATTTGCCACTGATGATTCAAACGAGAGATTTAAGCAGTGTAGAGTAGCGCTTGTTGTTTGTCATTTCTCCGATCACAAATGCAGACATGGTTTTATGTTTACGCGGCGCGATACGCAACGCGTAAAAACACAGTACAAGTCATTATAATCAGTAATTACTGTATGACCCCACTGGATGCAACAAATGCCTCGTTTGTAATGGGTTTTATTGGTTTTGTCTCGTCGCGCCGGGACACACGGAAACACAGTATGTTAACGGGCATAACATTTCCGTCACACGCTTGAGGTATTCGGCCAATCACAACGCACTGGATAGCTGGCCAATCACAGCACACCTCGCTTTTCAGACCAATGAGCTTTGTAAAAATCGACGCGTTTCAGAAAGGCGGGGCATAGAGGAGAAACAATAATGTACAGTATGGGGAAAATAATGTGTTTTTTGAACCTTAAACCATATAAACACATTTCATTACACCAAATACACAACATAATGTTCTTTTTAGCAGCATCGTATGACCCCTTTAAAAAACATTAGTCGTCTTAAGTCACGCTTGTATATGACTTTATGAAGTTGTTGAACATTTAGCTGGGGTTACTCAATAAAACAGTGTTTATGAACATTTGTTCTGCATTTTCTAAACACTTCTTCTGTTCTTGTTGACTTCCATTCATGCTCGCTGATGCAAATGGAGGGCAAATATGCTGTGAGCTAAATTTATCTCTCAGTGTTTTTATGCAGTGCTTTTCTGGGTCACAGCGAGACCCAGAAACAAGCATCTTCTCTAAAACTATAACTTTGTTTCCAAATCAAGTCTTTAAAGTGTATTTATGGTGTGTGCAGCAGTTTGGGCTGGTTTTAGCAGTTCGTCGGCTCATTTGTTTGAGTGTCAGCTGAGGACAACTGTACAAACAGGAGCAGTCGCTCTGAACCCACACAAATCACTTCAGTCCAGACACTTGTTTCTCAAACCGTCTTTCACTGAGGTTTTGATGAGCAAGATATCATTTTAACATTGGTTTAGTACAGTTTGTTCACATGTAATGGAGTGAAAGAGCAAATCTGAAAGTGATTTTGATCAGTGATTGGTTTGTCCACACTGAAAGTTAAAATGCATGATATGACACACCATCAGCCAATCAGAACATATGTGACCCTGGAGCACAAAAGCAGTCTTAAGTCGCTGGGGTATATTTGTAGCAGTAGCCAAAAATACATTGTATGGGTCAAAATGATCTATTTTCCTTTTATGCCAAAAATCATTAGGATATTAAGTAAAGATCATGTTCCATGAAGATATTTTGTAAATTTCCTACCGTAAATATTTCAAAACTTCATTTTTGATTAGTAATGTGCATTACTGGACTTAATTTGGACAACTTTAAAGATGATTTTCTCAATAGTTAGATTTTTTTGCACCCTCAGATTCCAGATTTTTAAATAGTTGTATCTCGGCCAAATATTGTCCTATCCTAACAAACCATACATCAATTGAAAGCTTATTTATTCAGCTTTCAGATGTCATGTCCATCTCAATTTAAAAACATTTACCCTTATGGCTGGTTTTGTGGTCCAAGGTCACATATTTAATGTTTAATGCATAGTTATGTGCAACTGGATTTTGTGGGCGGGGCTACCCAGCTCAATTAGCATTTACACATTTAGTAGATGCAAAGCGACTTAAAAAAGAGGAACAAAGACAATTTGTCAAAGAGCCAACAGTATTCCTAATACACAAAAAATAGAAACCAATAAACCATTCAATTCGCTCATCAGTACTAGGTTACATTTATATAACAAGCACATTTCCCCTCCAAATTCTGATGACCATAATTCAAAAAATAAAAAAGCATTTGCATTTAATTTTGCAAGGTAATAGACTATTATTATTATTATTATTATTATCATCATAAACACATGTCCCCTCCAAATTCTCATTACCATAATGCAAAAAATACAATGCATATATTGTGTGTATATATATATATATATATATATATATGTGTGTGTGTGTGTGTGTGTGTGTGTGTGTGTATTTATATGTTTTTTGACTATTGTGCATGTGCAGATGTTTTGAACAATCAAGGGTTTGAATCTCAGTCCCCTCTGTGTCATCAGATGCGACATATGGGTGAAAGCCCTTATGTTTTATAGCATCTCTCAAATCAATGCACTTACTCTCAATTACACCATATGGAGACACAGACGCTGCTGAGGAAATGATGCACGTGCTTTTCAGCAGAACATAAAGAGTTTAATTTACGATCATCCCTCTGGAGATTCCTACATGTGTGTTTCTGATCAAACTGGTAGTCCTTCACTAAAAACATGACAATAAAGCTCTGTGTTTCTCTCTGTTAGCGGCTCCTCAGAGATCAAATCATAAAACACAAGTAGACCACATGAAAGTGGAACCTAAGTTTTCAGAGTTCAGCATGCTGTGTTGTTTCTTCACAGAAATCAAGATGAAGTGTTAGTAATTGCACACTAGAGCTCTGCTGGGTCTCACCATATTAATAGACATGCATTCTGGGACTTAATGCTCAGCATGCAACAAATTCCAATCAAAATTGTGACAAAATATAGAGCTTATAGATTTGATTGAAAAAAGTTTAATATTTTGTTAAGAAATAATTATTCAAGTTAGCATAAATATAAAATATTTGTATTAACTATTTAGATTTGATTGCTGAAGTCTCTTATATTTCAGCCTAAAATGAAAAAAAAAATAATAATAATAAAGACTTCCTTCCATCAATATTTTTTTTCACTGTGACATTATTTTCATACTAATTAAGTACAATTCCCTCCAAAACACACACACACAAATATATATAACAATATCTTTTTGTTTACATTAAATTATATACAAAAAAGATGGTGGTGAATCAATTTTCATTCAGAAATTGCTAGTAAATTTCACAAATATTTTTGTGTTTTAAAGAGTTACTTTTACTAAGAATCTAATTAGAATCACCATTAAAAATCATGACAATTACAAACATACTTCAAAGCATCCAGATGCACTGAAGTAATGAAGATTTGTGTTTAATTGGCATGAGAATAATGCAAATCACAATGCAACGCATCTTAATGGTCCTAAAGATAGGCTTTATTTTGCAAAACTATAATTTAATTTCTCTTTTGATTTTATGGTAAAACACAACCTAGACTTGATTTCATGATTCACCCAAAAAGGACAGTTGTGCAATGTTCTTCGGATGATGCAATGAGAAGATGATAACTAGGGTTGGGTATCGTTTGGGTTTTTTTCAATACCGGTGCCAAATCGATACTTTTAAAACGGTTCCGGTGCCTAAACGGTGCCTGAACCGATACTTATTAAAAAATTTAAAAATAAAAACTCCCGTTAGTGCTATAAACACATGATGTCTGTTTCATTCATACTGGATGCCAGAGGGCGCCCTCGCACAGAAAATCCACACATCCAGTCACAGAAGTAGAGAGCTCATGACTCTCCAGGAAATCCCTTATATGGACAAAGACATTGCTATTATATCTGTATCTGAGTAAACAGAACATATATAAACTATTGAATGATAAAACAAAGACAAGAAACACTCGACTGCGACAATATAGTTTATCTGTGTTATTCAAGCCATCTCTGGTATTTTCACAATAATTAAGTATATTTATAATCAATTGCTAATCTATGTCAGGGCTCGCAAAATTTCAAAATCCCTGGTAGCCCTTCGGGCAGGTACTCTTCAGATTTTGGTAGCCCGAAATTTTTTTTAACTAGCCCAAATAAAAAAAAAGACCTTTTTTTTTTTTTAAATATAAAAAATCAGATAGGAGT